TGTAATTAAAATGAGAGACCTTTAACTTGGTCATTTTGAAGGTGAGAGTTCTGTTTATTCTCACTGCCTCCTTGGTAAAACTTCTGACCAGTTGGGAGAGAAAAATCAGGGACTGGGAAAATTAAAAAAAAAAAAGGTTCAACATATATGTCTTAAATTTAGCTTTTTACAGCTTTGGTGTTTTTCCTGTAGCAAAGTTCCATGTTGTAATGTGTATCCAGAACAGAGAAATTATTTTAATCTGGACATTTCGGTAAGTATAGTAACTAAGATTAACCACTTGACCTGGTTACTAATTTGACTGAGTCCTAATCTAATTAGTGTTCAATTAAAGTGAATTAACACCCAGAGACATTTTGTTGAAAGGTTTACACAGAGGTTTTAGTTAACAAAATATTTATGTTAGAGGGGAAAAAAAGCACTGAAATTAGATGAAAACTGTTTCTCCTATAAATGTCTTAAGTAGATGGTTAGGATGCTAGTGTTAAGAATAGTAGCTGTTTATGTTATTTATATTTGACAAATCAGCTTGCTCACTGAGGGCACTGGAGCTAAATCCTGCCTTCTGAATCCCACAGGTTGTATTTCTCCTGTAAACTGTGTCCTTCTTGATGTTTATTTCAGTCACTCGTGCTTGCTCTCTCGACCTTAGCTCCTCGGTCCAGCTCTGAAGTCTTCTGAAATGCTTCCATCTATTTCTTCAGCCTTCAGCTTCATGGCTGTGATCCAGAACAAAGAGCTCCTGTTTTGAGTCAGGAACCCCCCACTTTCATCTTCCCATTTAATCTCCTCTGTTTTCTCAGGAGAGTTCTTTCAGCTTATTGCCTAAGTTTCTCCCATTCACTAGCTTCTTTCTAATAATATAAGCTTAATACACATTATGCCTGTAGCACCCTAATTATGCAAAACAGTAATTAAACTCATTAGGAATAGTTGAGCACACTGAACTAAAGATGAGACTGTCGGATATATATTACAGTGACAAAGAGGTTTGACAAGACATGTATACGAAACTGGAGGCAGGTTTGACGATGAAACCTCTCTTCTGTACCCTGAATTTGAAACTCCTTCATACTGTTGTGCGTATGCCAGAGGTCCTGTGATATCCTTGATATGTGCAGTTTGTTGTGTACAAACTTGCCGTCTGACTCTCCTTCAGTCTATGCTAAGGGCAGATACCGTTTTCTTCTTGGTTAGGGATGTTGGTTCATGTATTTCTTCATTTTCTTTTCCCAATTTTTCTTATTTTTCATGCTCCTTTTCTGTTTCCCTCAGTTCACCATCTCATCTCTCATATTTTCAAATGCCAAAGTTTTGAGATATTTTTCAATTAATTTGTCCATATACATGAATGCATACTTCGTCCTGAAAGACAACTGCCTGCTTCACTGCACAGGATTTATGTGATCACTTAATAAATAGAAATTCGGTACTTTGTTTCATATGACTGGCTCTGTATATGGTCACCTTCTTGTTCACTTGTTTCTGTGTGTATACACATATACATAGAGATATATCTAGCTGTCTTCAGTTTGATATTTGACTGCTGCTCCAACCATTTCTTTTCTTGCCACGGCTCTGTGGGGAAAGTGGTGGCATGATTCTGGTCAAGCAAACAAGAAGCTGATGCATGGTCAGGTGAGAGTAAAGTGTCTCCAGTTACAGTTGGATTTTTTCTGGTGGGCTTTTCCCCTCCTCAGTGTATGTCACTCTGTAACATACTTTACTCAGAATAGACTTCTGATGACTTTGTTTGCATTTGTGGGTGCTTCGGAAAACCTGTATGAGTCGTTTCAGTTTGGACACTCAGTGGCAAATGCACTTTTGAGCCCAGACTGTAAGTCTGCTCTGCAGGGAGTTCCCAAACACCGTATGAGGGGAAACATCTGAGACTGAAATCCGCCTCTCCAAGGCTGCTACCCAGCGCTGCCTGCTGGCTTGAAGAAGTCCCCTGTTCATTTGCTCATACAGCCTTACAATAAGTAAGGCTGCAGAATATGGACCTGCCAAGCAAACACTGTGCAAACACAGAGGACACATTGTCTCTACCTCAGTCACCCTACAGTCCAGCATCAGGAATAATATTGGACTAAACATCATCTTTAGCTCTTACACTTCCTGTCTTTCCTTTGTAGCTTTAGTGGGAATGGGCTCAGTGTGATTTCTACGGTCTTTAGAAAGCATAACTGGAAAAAAAGGAAAGCAAATTCAGTCAGGAGGCTGCAATTCCCTGTGAACATGATGGGCAGGACTGGAACTGTGAGATTCACAACACAGACCTCTGCCAGTTGAATTTTTTGACAGCAGGATCGCTACAAATGGTAGCAATAGTAGGTTGTTATCTTACATGAGCTGTCCCCCCAGGAAGATGCCAGGAGTTCACAAATACTTTTAGAAGTGGAAGAATGCTGAGTCAGGAAGAATGAATTTGATTCCCAGTGTATGTGGTGATCACAGAGTCGGCTCTACTCCCTTTTCTCCATACGTTTTCCACTTTTATCTCTATTTAGCCCTTGTGTGTCTGTGCCCCCTGCTATTGCGCTAGGTTCAGCACCCTTCCCATTCTAATTACACTGGAGGGCCTTCCAGTGCTGGACCTATGACACTGGAAGATGGGTCTGTATTTTAAATAATCTCAATGAAGATTCAATCAGGGGGAGAAACAGTGTGGTTTGGTAGCAAAAAGTGCAAGATATTTACATTAGGCATGCAAAGTCACCAAAGGAAATAAGTGGGTATTTTGTAGCCCAGGATCTCAGGTTTGTAGGGAACCACAAGATGGACTTCAGTTAATGGAGTTTTAGGAAATTAAAATAAAATAAATACTATTCTGAAATGTATGAGCAGAGAAACAGTCTGTTAGACATATGAAAATTAATCTTCTGCTGTATTCAGTGTCAGTGAGATTTTTCGTTGGAATTGAGTCTATAGAGAGCAATGAGAATAGACAAAGACTAGAAAACATGACCTGGCGTTTCTTGAAAAAGGGGAGATTGTTGTGCCATCTCTTCCTCTTCCAGTATGAACAAACATATGATTAAAAAAAAAAAAAGAAGAAGGGAAAGGGGAGGGCATCCTCATTTGTACTGACACCAAGGACAACAACAGCGGGCTTTAAGTGAAACAAGATTTACTTTAGATACTATGGGGAAAAGCAAAACAAAAACAATGTTTAAAGTGAAGCATATTTGATTTCCTGGTGTGACCGAGTGGTTCCTGAGACCGGAAATCGTTAAGACTAAGCCAGACAAACATCTCAGGAATAACATGAATGTAGCTGTTCCTGTCTAGAGTTCAAGGACTAGATGATGTCTTGTGGTCCTTTCGGGCTTACTGCGCTGTGATGCCTTCACAAAATGCAAGGCAAGGGGAATTTAGCTCTGAACCTCCTCTTTACTGTAGACCCGACCAATCCAAAGGAGTCGAATGTTCATGAAAGCTCATACAGGGCTTTGCATCTGGGCCTCTCTGGTTTGTGTAGAAGTAACATGGAAGCTGTGGTCATCTGGAGGCTCAAATGGGTGATCTCTGGAGCAGGGGGTTGTGGGGGAGAGCATGGCACTTAGAGGGGAAGTGAGACAGGAGATTAAAAAGCAAAGTGTGGGGAAGAAGGGCAGAAAAGGTGCTAAGAAAATCTATTTTCAGATATAGCCCATTTCAAGCATTGCCTTATTAAGGCATATGAATACCTAGCAGTTTGTACCTCTCAACATGGAGAAGAGTGGGGAGTCTCGGCTCTTTTAAGCAGCACTTCAATTATACACCATGCCTGAGAAAGCTCAGCCTTTCAACGTGAGGCTTTCCGAAATGTATAGCAGCTGGCCAGCCTCAGCCCCTTGCTGCTGTTGGAGGTGAAGGTCAGAGTTGTTCCTGAACTGCTCTTCCTGTTGGAAGCACGGTGGCAAAGGCTTCTGTGGGAAAGGCTGCTGAGTCAACTCCAGAGCATGCGGCTACCAGCAAGGCAGAGGAAAGCCTCCACATTGTAAAAAATAGCTACACCAGGAGCCCTAATATACTTAAGTGCTTATTTTTCCATGTGTGATCTCATGTAAACCAAGCTGCTGGGCAGTATGACATAGAAGTTGGCCAAAAATAAACCGTAACTCCAACTTTTTTTTTTAAGTTAACTTTTGATGGGTGGAGGGGACAGGTACCCTGCTTGCTCATTTCCGTTACGTTATTGCTAGAAAAAAATATTCCTGGGGGGAGATATTGCTAAAGGTGAAATCAATGTGAGGTATCTGTTTTGTAATGTTGGTCAGGAGAGGAATTATAGCTCTTCCATACAGGAAAGTTAGGCATATAACACAGTGAGAAAAGGTAAGCAGAGTATTTTTCTGGGTGCTTCTGCAGTCGATTTCATTGAATTGGGTTTTAGTGAGAATTTGACCTTGCAGAAAAGGAATAGACTTGAGAGCATTTGAAGCTGAAGCCCATAAAGGCAGCCTTGGGGCAGGACTCGCTAAGCCTTGTTGAGACACCTCAACAAAATGTCTTTAGAGGCTGCATAGCAGTTCATTTTCGTTGACCGTTTGATAATTGACCCATTACTTGATTTTATCATTATTATTACTGCCAAGTGCTGGATCGTTGTTGTGGGAAAACTAGGTTGAAACCACAAAAGCTCTTTGACAAAAGTCATTCAATGTCTGGGAATGCTTGTAGTTTCACCACTGTCCAGTCAGGACTAAAGTTACCTTCTTCAGGAAGAAGCATGACTTACAAATCATTTGCTAGTGAAAGTGAAGTAACACCCAAATCGGAGAACTAGGTTTACTTGCCTCAAGCAAAATAGAGAAAGGCTTTGTAATGCTGAGTATAATGTGCGTCACAAGATCAAACTCTGGATATAAGCAAGTAGGTTTGAAGGGCCGATTTTTGTAGTTATTAACATCACTTTTAACAATTGCAATTTCTGTTTCTTCCAGGGCTGTAACAGGGTAAGCCAGTGGCAAAAAACCCAGACAGCCCAACCTTGTCTTTACTGTTCTCCTCTGCAGAGCTTCTGACCTGTTTCTACTGGACACACGGGCAGTGTGGGCCTCTGAGGAAGGTTGGCTGGAGTTTGACGTCACTGCTACCAGTAACATGTGGGTGATGAACCCTCAGCACAACATGGGGCTTCAGCTGAGCGTGGTGACTCGGGATGGTAGGTTATGGACCAATTTGTGCAAATCATCTCGTGAGTCTTTTGATTGATTTTGTTTGTTTGGAAGTGGTGCTAGTAGAGACCAGTGGCAGCATGGGGGCATGAGTATTGTACCTCCTGCAGCTGGAACAAATACCCTAAGCAAAGTATCTGAGTACATGAGTTGAAGGTTGTCAACTTCTCACCTGTCTCTAGTCCTGTTTGTTTAGGGAAGCAACTATATGTGAGCTACACTTAACCCACAACTGAGGTCAGGTATCTCCGAACAGTATCAGGAGTCACTGCTCATATCTGAGCCAGCCAAGGACGGGAACCCTGCATGGTAGAAGCAATGTGGTTGCAGGGCAGGAGTGGTCCCTCTGAAGGACAGCCGAAACAGTAGCATTTCACAGCCCACAGAAACTTTGAAAGGTGGAAAAGGGGAGCTTGTGGTGGGAGACTGGAAAAAGGATTAAAAAAAACCCTAAAAAAGTGCACGATATTGAGTGTCAGAGGATAAGCAGTGAGGATGGAGAAGGTCTACATGAATGGAAGACAAAAAAAAAAAAGATGAAAGCTGCATCCTACCTCTGTGGGAGTGAGTCTCCAACCTTGTGTTCATATTCTATCACTTCATCCCATATTTTGGTACACCTGTGGGGGCAAATGAGACTCAAGAACCACTGTTCTTCCTAAAGAAATGTTAATGCGAGCCTCTACTTCCCCAGATCATTCCCACTTCTGACAAAATCACACTGTCTCTTTGCCCTCTTCATCCCAGGAGTCTCCTAACTCTGTTCTGAAGGTTTCCCGGGTAGCAGAACTTCATTTCCTGACACATCTGGGCTTTGCATTTTATGTATCTTTCTCTCACGTTTTTTTAATGCCTAAAATGGAGTAGAGGTGCTTTAGGGATTAAAAAATATGTCGAGACACTGTGGTGGTGCCTTTTGTCAAGGATGGATGGGATGTTGTCATAAAAATGTCAGTAGATTGTGGTGGCAGAAGGGAGATGTTCAGCAATAAAATAACATGAACAAGAAGTGAGCAAATCCTACTTACGGGGATGTGTCAGTGATGAAAAGAGCAACCCATCCATCCCAGTTTTGCTAATACATACTTTTCTGTTTTATTTGAAGGTTTCAGTGTGAACCCCAGAGAAGCAGGCCTTATAGGCCGAGATGGTCCATATGACAAACAGCCTTTCATGGTGGCGTTTTTCAAAGTGAGCGAAGTTCATGTCCGGACGACTAGATCAGCGGCAGGCAGGCGCAGGCAGCAGAGTCGCAACCGTTCCACCCAGGCTCAGGATGTTTCCAGGGTGTCTAGTGTCACAGGTAATGACGCGATGTCCATTTTGTCTGGGAGCTGGGGAAACATCTTGTGATGTTTCTGTTTGCTTCGATGTGCAAAAGCAAGAAGGGGCACATGAGGTGGGGTGCTCTTCTTTGGAGGAACAGATGACAACTGCGAAGGAATGGGAGAGGGAGTCTCAGGTAATGTTTGCCTAGAATTACGCCATGCGAAATGAGATATTTAGAAGATTCCATCTTGGCATTCACTGTGATTTATAGTATCACACATATGCCTTTCCAGCACAGTCCTCTTTCAGTTTGCTTTGGAAAAGTCTTGGTAGAGCAGCCCAAGTTCTTTTTTTTTTTTCCTTGTAGGAACAGCAGTGTAAAGAGTAAAGTGTATTTCCAAACATGCAAGCAGGCTTGCCAGGTTTGCTGTGGAAAGGCTGTGTGTTGGAGAGACTGTACAATGACATTATGTGTGCTGTCATGTGCTGGTGTGACAGCTCTGAAATTTTCAGAACAAATCAGAAAATCTCTGTTTTCCAGCAGCTCTGTCCTGCATCACAGTGCTGGAAGTTCTTTATTCATTGAGCACCTTCTTTCCTCTCATACATTTCGGCTCATTCCAAGTTACTTGATTAATTTGCTTATGCTGCCCCCTTCTTTCCCAATAGGAGCCCTGCTTTTCCTGTATCTAGAAATGACTATACTCCAAGGAAGATAGGTGGTTGTGTTTCGTTAGTGCATGTTCAGACACTGCCCAGAGAAATGAGCCAGTGCTACCAAAGCTTTATCAGGTGTGAATCCATAGGCTCTGCTGTACTCTTGGTTGCCTGGATGGTGACTGAGCTGTTGTGCTGGGCTGGCAGCCGCGTTGGCTGCCTTTGGGTGTTGTTCCACGTGTGTCCATGCTACAGCATGACTCTGTGCCCAGTGGTGCCTGTGAGTTTTGCCTTGCTTGTGGGTCAGAATAGAGCTGCCCTTTTAAAAAGGCTCTGCCGAAGTTGGTACTGTGTTGCCAATGTAATCATCTGCTCCAGTCTACCTTCAATAAAGTTATAGGTTTTGAGCATGGAAAATCATAAAAAGCAAGTCAGCAAAGGCAATGGGGAACCCAAGTTACTGCAAGAAGCAGGCGCTGGGGTCAAAGTTCATTTAAAGGAAGGTAAATCAGGCAAGTTTGCAAGTTGGGCACAAGCTGGCTATATACCTCAAAGCAGGGGTGCTGCTGGTGTTTCAGGTGGCCTGAGGGACATCCTTGGGCTGTCCCACATTAAGAGTGCCCTAGTAGCACTGGCGCAACTTCAACCCTCACTGGTGCAATACTTTAGGGTCTAGTTAACGTGCTCATTTCACTTTCCAGAGCATGGGTTTGAGCACCAGGGCTAGAGGAAGAGCCCTCCACCAATCCCGCAGGAAAAAGAGTTCATTTGTCACATTTGCTGGGACTCATTTTTAGTTTTATTTTTCCTTGGTGGCTTCCAGGACACGTTTCAAAAGGCACGTGTCACAACTGTTCGCAAGGTTATCCCCCTGGGGATCAATTTGCAAAGAGCATGCGGGCAATTCATTCATGTAGATGTTATTAAGCAATAAGCCCAGCTGTTAGGTACACAGCATGTAATTCTCCTGTTCAGGTGGACTCAGCTGCTGCACTCCCGCATCGCGGTGATGTGCGAGCTGATTTGTTAATGTTTTTACAGCTCTTGGGGAAAATTATTTGCTGCTTTGCTGTTTTGTGGTGCTGGTAGTGGAGTCAGGATAGACTCCAACTTTCTCTCCTTAGCCTTGCAAGCTTTGCAGTGCTAAAAACAAGTTTTCACTGCTATTAAATCAGAAGATATGACTCAAAGCTCCAGAGGGAGCAGATATATTGGGCAAAAAGGACCATTTTTACATTGCTTTCATGACTACAACCACACTTTAGATTATAAAATTATAAAATGACAAAAGGGAAAAAAATAGCCGGTCATTTTGTGGTTTCAAGTGCTTTTTTGAGCTTTTCTAGCTCAAAGCCAGCTTTAATTTAAAACCTGGAATTTGGCAGTCTGGTAGTCAACAAGGTATAGTTGAGCCTCTGTGGATTTAAAGGGTGGGGGAAAGGAGGGGGAATTTAAAGTTGAGATGTATGTTTGTTTGGTTTCTCTGTTTAGAAAGGAGAGTCTGCATCGGCTTATTTTCCTTTCTAAGAGTGACACTCTTAGATTCTGTTCTCCTTAGAAGTGGTTGATTTAACAGCCTGAGGGGCACTGATGACCCAGTAGGGATTGCTCTGCAGACCAATGTATGTTTTCAGCATTAAAGAAATCACAGGGCCTTTTTTTTTTTTTTAAAAAAAAAAGACTTTTTAACTTTGGTGAGTTCTTAAAACCCATGCCCTGTGCCATCACCATGACGTGTCAGGGCTGGAGTGAGTGGGAAGCGGGTGGGCCAGTTTCTACCCTGGAGTGCAAGGCAGCTGGCTCATGTTGGCACGTGTTGGTGGATTGACCCTTCCCTCCTCTGTGTTACTGAATACTCAGGGGTTTATTCTTGTCTCCGTCAAAAATGGGCCTCTTTCTGAGAAAGCGTTGGGACTTGAGGTAAGGATTGCAGGCTATGCTTAAAAAAACCCAAGTGACTGTATAAATAGGGCATTTCAAGGCTTCTGCCCTGCATGAAGCATCCTGCTGGACGGGTGCTGAACTGAGTGAGCCTGGGCCTTGCATGGAGGCCCAGGGGCCCTGCTGTGTTTTCTTTGATGTGTAGTTGTTATCCAGCTTAGTGCTCAGATGCTAAGGTTATGACTGCGGCGTAAAAGTCTAGATATAGTATGTGCTCTTTTTGCCAAGAATGATCATTTCCCTGTATTTTAAACGCGTAATTATGAGTGGCTTATATAAAGCAGAACCGAGTAACCCCCATGGTTAAAAACTGCTTTGACATAGAGTCCTGCGTCAATATGTTCTTGGAGCCAAGCTCTACCCTTTTGTAGAAGGCAAGTGAACAGGAAGAAAAGGCAGTATTTTGGGCTGTTGAGGCAGAGAATTGTCTTATCAGCTGTAGCCCAGGGCATGGAAGAATAAGATGTGTGGGAGAAGGGTTATCTGCTGTTATCTGCAAGTTTTGGAGTCTGAAACGCAATGATTTTTGCAATGTGGCCAGCTTGTGCTCTCAAGCCCTTTGCTGACTCTAGTTGACCTGAGGTGGGAGCTCTTTTTAGCATCACAGATTGTGATGGCAAGGCAGAAGAGCTTTGCTGCCGTACCGCCAGCTCCATGAATGACCTAAACATGGTGCTGTAGTGTGCAGTGGCGCACTGGTCTCTGCCTGTGCCCAGCAGCCGTTCACTCTTCTACAGAGATGACGCTGAAGCAAATTTGTTCCCACAAGGCTTTCCTTACAGAGGTTGTCACGTACAAAATCTGCCTGTTGGCTACGCTCACTCTTCTGGATTTAAGTCTTCCTTGGAAATTGCCCTTCCAGTGCCATGCTGCATACACGCACAGTGCTTTGCCGTGAGAGACATACCCCTGGCGCCTAGAAGACCGCAAAGCACAGCGCACACAAACACCGAAGGTAAATAAGGCCAAATGCTTTCGTGGTGGCAGAAGTCTTGTTAATAAACATCATTATCGTTATCTTGCAACAAAATCTTCCTTTTAGTAGTGTTGAAGCGCAGGCTGGAGCAAGGTGGCCGCGGTTTCTGCCTGTGCCTTCACATGCACGTCCACTTCAGCCCAATGTGTCTCTGCCCTCCCACCCAAGCAGATGACTTTCCTGGTTAAGTGGGCTTAACCGCATGATCAGTTTACACCAGCTTTATCCGGACAAAGCACCCAAGTCAAACACTAAGAAAAAGGGGCTGGCCTTGGAGACCTCAGTCAAAGCTATTTTGGACTGCCAAAGCAATTAATTACCTTGTGGAATCTGGTAAACTGGCACCTCGGGATCAGCAAGGGTATTCTCAGACAGATTAAACTCAGTAAATATTTATATATTCTTTGCCAGCACTTAACGTGGGAGAGGTTATAAGAAATCTAAGATTGGTGTGTAAGTATCTGGAGGAGGAGGATCACTAGGGTCAGACTATCCTCTCTCCCCCTTAAGCAGCACAAATGCCAGTGTCCAGCCTTAAGAGAAACATCTGCACTTGCAGAAAGTCGAGTTTGTGCACTTGTGCACAACTTTGCTGAAACCAGAGGCCGTCCAGCGTGAATAAGCCAGAGAGACGAGCTGTCATAACCGCGCTGCTTGAACCATGCTGTCCTGGGAGCTATTTTTAAGTGCAGGACTAGGGGTTGTTTTGTTTTGTTTTAATCTGCCTTTTAGACAAACAGTTTGCAATGTGATTAAACACAGTGTCAGAATTCTAAATGCCAAGCTAGTGCTACTGAGTATACCAAAGAGACAATTTTGCTAAACTAACAGAGGACCTATAGGAGCTCCTTAAACTCGCATGGATTTGAAGGTCTCTGGCTAACAAGTGTTGTGGCAAATTGTGTTGTGGCAGCTTAAGCTGTTCCCGTTTCAGTTGTTCACTGTGTTCCTTGGCCGCAGGTTCTGCTTTCAGCCCTCACTGCCCTTGTAAATCTGGCAGGGAAGAGCTGGGCCGTGCAGCGTCAGTCACCTCAAGTGGCAATATGGGCTAAGACAGTGTAGCCCGCTGGAATGGAGCAGTGGTACTGCTTTCCAGGGTTTGGTGAAAATGTGTTGTGGAGGCCAGTTTCAATAGCTCAGAGAGCTTTAGCTAATCAACTAAAACTGTCGATCATGTGGATTTGTCTTTCCCAGCCCCGTAATTGGAAGTATGTGGTTCCAGGCCATATGCCGAACCTCAGACTGTGGAGAACAGATAGTTATTATGTGTGTCTGCATTGCTAGATGTTTTTCTCCCAATTCAGAAAGTGACTGCTGAGAGTTGATTAAAGGTTTAGAACATGCTTAAAGCTGGACTGAAGTTGATTCCTCGTTTAATTCCCCCAAAGTCAAATTAAAGCATAGCAAACAAGTACCTTGCAACAAGGCTTGCCCAGTGTAATGCAAAAATCTTGTGTGCTAAACCTGAGAGTAAGCCAAGGAGTGGTGGACCCTCAGGTCTTCTACATATGCACGAAACACTACCACTATTTTGAGGT